GTTCAAATGATTCTCCTGCCTCAGCCTCCCGAATAGCTGGGCTTACAGGTGCCTACCACCACACCCAGCTAATTTTTGCATTTTTAATAGAGATGGAGTTTCACTGTGTTGGCCAGGCTGGTCTCAAACTTCTGATCTCAGGCGATCCGCCCACCTCAAACTCCCAAAGTGCTGGGATTATAGGCATGAGGCACCATGCCCAGCCTATATTCTCTTTTTAATTAAAAAAATTTAGAGACAGAGTCTTGCTCTGTGACCCAGGTTGAAGGGCAGTGGCATGATCATAGCTCACTGCAGCCTTGGACTCCTGGGCTCAAGTGATTCTCTTGCTATAGCCTCCTGAGTAGCTGGGACCACAGGCATGCATCACTATGTCTGGCTAATTTTTTAAATTTTTTGTAGTGTCAGGATCTTGTGGCTGAATGCAGTGGCTCATCCCTGGAATCTCAGCACTTTTGGAGGTAACGCGGGCAGATCACTTGAGTTCAGGAATTCAAGACCAGCCTGGCCAACATGGTAAAACCCTGTCTTTACTAAAAATACAAAAAAATTAGCCAGACATGGTGGTGCAAGCCTGCAATCCCAGCTATTCAGGAGGCTGAGGCAGGAGAATGGGTTGAACCCAGGAGGTGGAGGTTGTGGTAAGCTGAGATTGAGCCACTGTACTCCAGCCTGGGTGACAGAGTGAGATTCAGTCTCAGAAAAAAAAAGAGAGAGAGAGAGACAGACAGACAGACAGACAGAATCTCACTAGCTCAAGAGCTTTCCCAGGCTGGCCTTGAACTCCTGGCTTCAAACAGTCCTCTTGCCTTGGCCTCCCAAAGTGCTGGCTCTACAAGCGTAAGCCACCATGCCCAGCCTATATTCATCTTTATACCAATGCAGTTGTAAAATAACCTTTTTCTTTTTAATGCAAAAAGGGGCCCACAAAGCAAAAGGACCTGAGGTCCTTTCTAAGGATTGCCATAAAATACAGAAGGTCCAGTTAAATTTGCATTTCAGATGAACAGTGACTAGCACCTTAGTATAAATATTTTGCAAAAATTGCATGGGGCATATTCATACTGAGAAAAAAATTGTTGTTTATCTAAAATTCAAATGAACTGGGCATCGTGTATTTTTTAATTTGCTAAATCTGGCAGCCCTGCAGGAAAGTCATAATGTGACCCTAGCTGGCATGAACTGCAGCTGCAGCCTTCTCTCTTACATTCTTTAAGGTAAATGTTTAGGAAACAGACCCTGAGATGAGGATTTATGTGCAAGTAATTTTTTCTAAAGAGGTGCTGTCAGGGGAGACAAGTAGGAGAGTGAGGGAAGAGTCAGGGCAGTAATCCCAGCACTTTGGGAGGCCGAGGCAGGCAAATCATGAGGTCAAGAGATCGAGACCATCCTGGCCAACGTGGTGAAATTCCATCTCTACTAAAAATAGAAAAATTAGCTGGGCATGGTGGTGTGCACCTCTAAGCCTTGAACTTGGACCAGCCATGTTTCTGGCCTAGTGTAGATGACAGCTACTCAGTAGTCCCAGCTACTCGGGAGGTGGAGGCAGGAGAATTGCTTGAATCCAGGAGGCAGAGGTTGCCGTGAGCCAAGATCACACCACTGCCCTCCAGCCGAGCGACAGAGTGAGAGTCCATCTCAATTTAAAAAAAAAAAAAAAAAAAAAAAAAAAAAAAAAAAAAAACCAAAAACAAACAAAAAAAGTCTTTATAAAAAAAAAAAAAAAAAAAAAAAAGGACATCTGTGCAGAGCATTGACATTGTCATCTACGCTAGGACAGAAATGTGGCTGGTCCAAGTTCAAGGCTTAGAGAGAATAATCACCCTGCCCCTGTTGCTAGCTGTCATTTGATTTTACCCCCTAACCTGTACATAAGCAGTGCAAAGGAGAATAATGAAATCAAGCATATATAATGGCATGAAAGAAGGCAGCTCCCTCATGCTGGTCTGTACCTCACAATGGGGTGTCAGTATCTCACAGAGGAGGCCTGTGCTTACAGAGGAGGCCTGGGCCTCACAGAGAAGCCTGGACCTCACAGAAGCCAGCCTGAAGTTGGCAATCTCAGCAGCTTACACAAGGGAAGGGATTTGTTACTTCAGAGGAGCAGCCTTGCTATATTTTATACCTTCTCGTTGTTGTCCAAGAGAGGCCTATACCTCACAGAGGCACAGACTCAAGGATCTGCCTTATCATGGAAATGATTTCGTACTTCTGCCCCTCTGTGCTTTAACCCTTACTGCACCATCAAGGTCATTCCACAGCTCTCCAGGCTGATCGCAGCCCTGTCTTGTCACCAGCACAGGCAGGAGAGGGCATTTTGATGAGCCATGAGAGGTAGGAATTTGACATTCCGACTGCCCTGTCCACTGGGGTGCTTTCTCCTACCTCCACGCCCGAGAGGAACACGGTATTTTCTGGGTACCTCAACATACCTCTGTTGCTGATGACTTGTGCTGTAAATATTCACATGCACATCTGCTCCCTGGACACCTGTGACCTCTGTGCTGGCAGGGATTGTGTTTTATTCATTTGCTTTTCCCCAGCACATAGTCCATAGTAGCCCCTCAAATGTTTGCTGTATGAATACATGAATGAATGAATGAATGAATCAACCAATGAATATAGGAATTTAATCTGTGGCTTTGCACAAGTAAGCACGGCACCACAACTGGCCGGCACTGAGTTACTGCCGGTAAAGTGGGTATGTGCAAGTAGAGGCACCAAAAAATTAGTAGGAAACTGGAAAACAGAGTGTTGTATCCAGTGGCATCCAGCTTCATCCTGGTGAAGCAAGGTGGGTATTAGCAGCCCCACCTGCTGGAGATGTCTTCTATGTGCCTGGGCCCCAGACTGAGACCTTTCCTGAATCTGCACTGCAGCGTCCCAACTGATGGCTTTATTTCTACCTCCATTTCCAGGGATGGGAGCCTGGTCCTAGTCTACCTCCATTTCCTGTTTAGAGCCCAGCCTTTGCCCAACTCCTCACCAACCCCTTTCTTCTAGAGGCTTCCCTGCATCCCCAGCTCTAAAACATCCGGACTTGATGGGCAATAGCTTGGTGTGAAGAGCATCAGGAAATCTCATGGCCAGATTGGACCCCTGTGGCCTCGGACGCCAGCCTCAATCAGATCTACATTCAAAATGTCTCCTGCCTCTCTTTTCCCAAAGCCCACTGGGCAGCCTAATCCCACAGCCAGAGGTGTGTGGGGGAGGCGAGGGCCCCGATGCTGGAGTAGACATTTCTGGGTTTGTATCTTGGCTCTGACACTGACCAGCGGAGTGGTCTTGGGGAAGTTATTTCATCTCCGTTTCCTCATCCGTCAACTTATAATACGATCTCATCGGGAAGAGAGAATTAAGTGAGATCACTTAGCAGATACACAAAAGCATTATCAATTCTTTTCCCTTATGTTCTTGGGCCCCTACCTCTTCCTGAATTTATCCTTCTCCACTTTGAAATGCAGGATTCAAAGTGCCTTGCAAGGCTGAGGAAAAGCCAGAGGGGCATCTTCTTGTCTGCAGAGTCTGACTCCGCAGCCAAGCCTTTCTGAGTGGCCGCTCTCTTGTATGCTGGGGAAGGGAGGGTGACATTAACCAAAAGGACCCAGCAGCAGACACCAGGAAAAGACAAGCACATGGAGAGCACAAGTTGCTGAAGAGCGCACAGGCGGCGCAGCACATTCTGCCCAAGCTGGAGAGACAAACATGATTAGGAAGAGGCAGGATGAAATATACTCCTGACGTCAGTGGGCAAGAGGGGACGAAGCAATAAAGGGAAAATGATGTAAAGGAAAACCGGAATTTCATTTTCACGGTTGGTTCTTAATTACTGAGGCTTGGTGGGAGGTTACACTTGTACCGAATGTAACACCCAGAGTACGTGGCCGCTCCTCTCTTCCTGGAGACAGAGTGATGGTTGCCGTTCACTTTCCAATCCATTCAGCAAGTCCCTGGTGGGATCCTTCAGAAAGAGAGGTGCTCTGTGAAAGGGCGACATCCATTATGCTGCTACAGTTTCCTGCCCTTTCCACTTGCTTCCACTTCTGTCTCCTTCTCTTGTCTTTTACCACAGCCAAGTACGTAGAATTACTGAGATTCAGTGATGATTGTCCTCAATTTCCAGTTTAATTCAGATTGCTTTCTGTGAGAAAAAAATATCTCAAGGTTGATCTTCCTTCCTTCCTTCCTTCCTTCCTTCCTTCCTTCCTTCCTTCCTCTTTCTCACTTTCGAGACAGAGTCTCACTCTGTTGCCCAGGCTGGAGCTTACTGGCGTGATCTCAGCTCACTGCACCCTTCGCTTCCTCAGTTCAAATGATTCTCCTGCCTCAGCCTCCCGAATAGTTGGGATTACAGGCCCCCGCCACCGTGCCTGCTAATTTTTATATTTTTAGTAGAGGTGGGGTTTCGCCATGTTGGCCAGGCTGGTCTCGAACCCCTGACTCCAAGTGATCCGCCTGCCTTGGCCTCCCAAAGTGCCAGGATTACAGGTGTGAGCCTCCACGCCTGGTTTCCAGGTTGATCTTTCAAGAAGAATCATTTAGTTACCTTTTGTGTTGTTTCCCCAATATCACCTATAATATGTTAATCACAAGAGGGGATGCAGGAGGAGTTAAGATGAGCTACTCAGTCCACATAGTCCTGTAAGAGACTCAGGGATGTAGACAAATGATTCCAAAACAAGACATACTAAAGCTGCCACAAAGGGCTGTTCAACATGCTATGGGAACACCAAGAAACCAGTGACTGACAGTCACAAGAAACTGCTTGAACTGTCTTAAAGGATGAACTCCTTTGCTCAGATTTACGGATGGTCAGAAAACATTCCAAATGGCGAGAGCAATTCAACAAAGGCTCAGATGCGTGGATTGGCCTAACTTACTGGACAATCTGGTTTGGCTAGAATACCGGGTATTTGAGGAAGTAGCAAGAGCTGGAGCTACATAGATTAGCTGAAGCCTGATTACTGCATTCACAAACGCTTACTGAGCACCTGCTATGCACCAGGGGCCATTCTCTCTGCTTGGGACAGAACAGTCCTTGAGAGCACCGTGGGCCCTGCCCTTTCAGGGAACACTCACCATGAGGCCTGCACAGGGAGAGGAGCAATTGGGTGCCAAATCAGGAAGTGTCTTTCAACACTGGGCAAGGGAATGCGATCCTCTTGCAGTAGGAGCTCAGGGACCCTTGAAAGATTTTAAAGAAAGGAACGTCATGCTCATTTTGACACTGTAGAGAGTTCATGGAAGATGAGTAAAACCAGGAACAGGAGACCAGTGAGGAGGCTACTGTGATAATCCAAGTGGCGTATGACAAGAAACAGCTAAGCAGAAGAGGTTTATCAGGAAGTGATCTGGATAGACAACCATAACATAACAGCAAAATGACAGCCGCTCTCAAGCAAAGACCCCTCTTTTAAAGATAGTTAGAGTAAAATACACATAAAATTGACCATTTAACCAGTTTTTCAGTGTATAAAGCAGTTACATTTGGTACATTCACAGAGTTGTACAACTATCACCACTGTTTTGTTCCAGAATATTTTCATCACCCTGAAAGGAAACTCCAGACTTATGAAGCAGTCGCTCCCCATTCCCCTCTCCCTCACCCCCTAGCAATCATCAGGCTGCTTTCTGTCTCCATAGATTTGCCTACTCTGAATACTTCATATAATTAGAATTATACAATGGGGGGGTTTTTGTGTCTGGATTCTTTCACTTAGGATAATGTTTGCAAGATTCATCTGTGTTGTAGCACAGATCAGTTACTTCATTCCTTTTTATGGCTGAATAATATTCCATTATATGGATATACCATATTTCATTTATCTATTCTTCAGTGGATGAACATTCAGACTGTTTCTGCCTTTCGACTATTGTTAACAGTCTGTGCTACTGTGAACATTCATGTACAAGTTTTTGCTTAAACAGCTATTTTCAATTCTTTAGGGTATATGCCCAGAAGTAAAATTGCTGAGACTCCTCTTTTTAATTTAAATCTTTTCGCTCCCAGGAAAATTCATTTTTTTGGAAAACTTACACAAATGTTTTGTTCACTTGCTGGGGGGTTATGAATGATAGGGGAGATATTTATTTCAGTTTGTGACTTCACTGGCATCAGTTTCAACCCTAAGCTTTTGCTCAGGGCCTGGCTGACTCTGATCTGCAAGAAGTGATCTCCAGCTGGGGCCCGAGTTTGTTGAAGTGGCCACAGAAGCAGATTGGCGTGGGCTCCTTGATCTAGAGACATAGGTCAAATTTCTTGACCAAAATAGAGTCCATAATGTCTGTTCTGATTTCCTGTCTGAGTTATTCAAGGAAAGCCTGAGGGGACCAGTGTTGATAATTAGAGACTCTCAGCTTCTGACCTCAGCACCTGCTTCAGGATTTCAGATGATTATCATTCCACGGCTATTTGGAGGACAAACTTCATTAGGCATAGTATGGTCTTCTAGAATGACTAAATGACGTTTAGAGATACCTTAGCCATTTTGCTTTTACATGTGAGTTGGGGGGATGATAAATGCTGTCTGAATTTTTCTAGCTGTACTGATATGGCCTAGTGGAAATAACATCTCCTCTGGCCCTGACAAAGCTGAATTTGAATTATGTCACTTAGTAACTATATGACCTTGGGCAAGTTATTTAAACTCTCTGAGCCTAACATCCCTCATTTATAAAATAAAATTAATAATAACATCTGTAGATGGATGTCTTGATTTTGGCTGAGGCCCCAAAATACTGAGAAAAAAAAATAATAGGCAAGCTTTCCCCTTTTGCAAAAAGTAAGATAGTAGAACGCATTTGCAAGACTTACAAAGAGGCATCCTGGAACCAGTTCTGTGACCTTTAGCTCTGTCTACCTCAAAGGTATGACCCAGGCTGAAGTTGTAAAGTCCAGAAGTTGAAATTAGATTTCTTGGAAAGAGTTGTCAGTGAGATAGGAGTTTTATTCTTTCCTTGGGCGAGAGCTAAGAAATGTTTTCTTTTCACTACAAATTTAGTGAGAAAGCTCCAAAGAAACGCTAATTCCTAAAATTAGGAATAAGATAAGGATGTTTGCTTCACTACTCCTATCTAACATTTTATTGAAGGTCGCAGCCAGTGCAATAAGGCAAGAAAAAAGAAGTAAAAGGCATATGCATTGTAAAAGAAGAAATACAACTATTTCTATTCACAGATGACATAATTTTCTACACAGAAAATCTCAGAGAATCTGCAAAGAAAACTATGAGAGCCAATAAATGAGATTAGTAAGACTGCAAGATACCAGGTCTAAAACCAAAAATCAATTGTATTTTTATACACTGATAATTAATGGGGAACTAATTTTTTAAAGTATTTTCTTAACAATAATATCCAAAGACCTGAAATATTTAGTTATAAATATAATATAATATGTATAAGATCTAGATGTTGAAAGCTATAAAACACGGCTGAAATAACAAAGAAAACCTAAATAAGGTTATGGTTAGACTGGAAGACTCAGAATTGCCAAGATGGCAATTCTTCTCAAAATGAACTATTGATTCATTGCAATTCCAATGCAGCAGGGTTTCTTTTGCAGCAATAGAAAAGTTGATTCTAAAATTTATATGGAAAGGCAAAGGAATAATTTTGAAAAAGGTCAAAATTTGAGGACTCACACTATCTGATTTAAAGGCTTACTCTAAAGCTGGATTAACCAAGACAATGTGACATTGTCGAAACAAAATACACAGATCAAAGAAATCAACTAGAAATCCAGAAACGGACCCACATATATATATAATCAATTGATTTTCAACAAAGATACAGGCAAGTCAATGGAGAAAGGATAGTTTTACAACAAATGGTGCTAAAACAACTAGACATCTATATGCAAAAGTGAACCTTGTTCTATTTGTTGCACCATGTACAAAAATTAACTCAAAGTGGGTTATAGACTTTCATGTAAAGCCCAGTACATACAACCTTTAGAGGAAAATGTAGGAGAAAATCGTTGTGATCTTGGGTTAGGCAAAGATTCTGTAGTTACAAAACTAAAAGCATGATTCATAAAAGATAGGATTGCTATGTTAGACTACATCAACGTTGAAAACTTCTGCTCTGGCCGGGCGCGGTGGCTCAAGCCTGTAATCCCAGCACTGTGGGAGGCCGAGGCAGGTGGATCACGAGGTCAAGAGATCGAGACCATCCTGGTCAACATGGTGAAACCCCGCCTCTACTAAAAATACAAAAAATTAGCTGGGCATGGTGGCGCGTGCCTGTAATCTCAGCGACTCAGGAGGCTGAGGCAGGAGAATTGCTTGAACCCAGGAGGCGGAGGTTGCGGTGAGCCGAGATCGCGCCATTGCACTCCAGCCTGGGTAACAAGAGCGAAACTCCGTCTCAAAAAAAAAAAAAAAAAAAAAAAAAAACTTTTGCTCTTTAAAAGGCACTGTTAAAAGAAGGGAAAGACAAACTACAGACTGGGAGAAGGCAGGACGCTTATCTGATCCATCTATATAAAAAACTCTCAGCCAGGTGTGGTGGCTCATGCCTGTAATCTCAGCAGTTTGGGAGGCTGAGGTGGGCAGATCACGAATTCAGGAGACAGAGACCATCCTGGCTAACACAGTGAAACACCGTCTCTACTAAAAATATTAACAAATTAGCCAGGTATGGTAACACGCATCTGTAGTCCCAGCTGCTCGGGAGGCTGAGGCAGGAGAATTGCTTAAACCTGGGAGGTGGAGGTTGCAGTGAGCCAGGAACGTGCCACTGCACTCCTGCCTTGGTGACAGAGTGAGACTCTGTTAAAAAAAAATAATAATAAATAAATAACCTCTCAAAACTCATTACGTTAAAAAAACATAATTACATAATTTAAAAGTAGGCAAAGATTTGAACTGATGTTTTATCAAAGGTAATATATGGATGGCAAATAAATAGATGAAGATATGCTCAATGTCATTAGTTATTAGGGAAATGCACATTAAAACTATAAGGTACAGCTCTACATTTATTAGATTAGCTAAAAAAAATTCAACAATACTAAGTGCTGGAAAAGATGTGGGACAGCAGGAACTTTCACATTGTGCTGGTGGATGCAAAATGGTATAGCTACAGCTGTGGAAAACAGTTTGGCAGTTTCTTGTGATACTATCCAGCAATCCTTTTTTTTTTTTTTTTTTTTTTGAGACAGAGCCTCACTCTGTCACCCAGGCTAGAGTGCAGTGGTACAATCTCAGCTCACTGCAACCACCACCTCCTGGGTTCAAGTGATTCTCATGCCTCAGCTTCCTAAGTAGCTGGGACTACAGGTGCACACCACCATGCCTGGCTAATTTTTGTATTTTCAGTAGAGACAGGGTTTCACCATGCTGGCTAGACTGATCTCAAAATCCTGGCCTCAAGTGACCCACCTTCCTCAGCTTCCCAAAGTGCTGGGAGGGCTACACCTGGCCATTATCCAGCAATCCTACCATCCCGTTCCTAGGTATTTACCCAAGTGAAATGAAAACTTGTGTTCACGCAGAAACCTATAAAATGATTTTTTATAGTGGCTTTATTCATAATTGTCAAAAACCAGAAACAACCCAAAATCCCATCAATTAATGAACAGATAAGCAAACTTCGGTACATCCATACAAAGCAGTACACCTCAGCAATAAAAAGGAGCAAATGACTAATCCTGACAACATGGGCGAATTGCAAAAACATTACGTTAAGTGCAAGAAGTCAATCTCGAAGGCTGCATGTTGAATAAATCCATTTATATGATATTCTGGAAAAGGCTAACCTTTAGGGACAAATAAGAGAACAGTGGCTGCGGAGCCTAGGGAGAGGGAAGCAGTTGATTACAAAGAGAGGCGAGGAAATACCGGGCAAGGATGAAACTATTCTGTATCTTGATGGTGTGGGTGGTTGTATTACTGTATTTATTTTTCAAAGCTCATAGAACTGTATGCTAATAAGGTGAATTTTACCGTATGTGAAATGTGCATCAATTAAAATAAGCATAGTTGAATGTAAAAGAAAAAAGAGGTGGGCGTTGGAGGGTTGACAATGAAAAGGCCAAACACTGGGAATTATTATAGATTTCTCTGGAGAGAATTATGGTGTGATGGGAGCCCCATTCTCCTCTCAGGAGAAAGGAGGGCATGTTTTTTCCTCACCTCAAGCCTAATGAGAGAAGCACTGAATAGACTACCCACTAAGAGAGT